GGTAAACCACTGTGTGGAGAGCAATGAACCTTCCAGAACCAAAGAAGAGTTCTCTGTAAATCTCCCTGAAAGGGCCCATTGGTAATGCCGTTGTCGCCTCTCTCCTTACCTGGGAGAAGCAGAATAAAGACATCAGGCGTGGATCTGAGTTACAAGTCCTCATTGTCTTAAGTGACTATAAAAATGGGACTCATTACGTTCTCAGTGGACATTTGTGCCCTTTGGCAACAGCAAGTGTGCGTGTACCTTGCAACATGTCATTAGAAAAGGCCTCTCCCCTGCGGTGGCAGCAGCGTTCTCATTCAGAAAAGTCAGAGCTCAGGGAGCTGCAGTCCCTCACATAAGCCCTGTTTCTGGGCCGTGAGAGGATCACCAGATGAGAAGATAGGGCTGGATAGGTGGGTCTATGAACATCCTGGGAGGAATGGCAACTTGTTGGGGCTTTTCTGATTAGCATTCCAGAAGAATCTTTCTAGCTGCCATGTGTTGAGTGACTACTCATGGTTGCCTCTTGGGGAACTGCTAGGACTGCAGCCATCTTCACACCTCAGGCACCGGAACCTCTAGGACCCTCGGAAGTTTGCTTAGGAGACAACTTTGGCTGTGGAGGAAGAAAGACAGTATCTTCCACAATCTTCAGACTAAGTTAAGGAGGAACAAGTCTAGGGCAGCCTTTGGATCAGAGCTTTGGCCCTGGAGGACAGAGCAAATAGTAGATGCCTCAAGAATGTTTAAAATTAATAAGAAGCTGGTTTGGCCCAGTGGAGAGAGCCTCAGCCTGCAGTCTGAAGGGTTGCTGGTTCAATTCCCGTCAAGGTCACATGTCTGGTTGTGGGCTCAATCCCCAGTAGGGGGCAGGCAGGAGGCAGCTTATCAATGATTCTCTCTCATGATGTTTCTATCTCTCCCTTCCTCTCTGAAATCAATAAAAAAAATTTTATAAAAGAAGCTTAAATGAAGTAACATATTCACAACTCTGCTCTTAGAAATGCAACTTCTCCCATCAGTCTTCACTGAAGCCGCCCTCAGTTAAGGATTACTGTTTGAGTACGGTGTCCCCAAAAATGTATACCCACTTTAATAGCTGATAGCTCCGTTTTGAAAATGAAATGTATTTTCATACGCACTGGCTTCATAATTATTCAAAGTGTGTGTATACATTTTGGGGGGACATCCTATGTAAGTAGCCTTAAATTATTTAGTTCCATTCTAGATCGCAGGTAAATACATACTTGTTTTGCTATTAGGGAACAACCCAGAAACTCAGTGTGCTGGCTCCTGTTGTAAAAAATTAGTTTTTAGAAGCTGTGAATTTCCTAGGTGAAAAATTATAACATTTTATGTGGGCTTTATTTTGTATGGATCCAAGAACTTGTCTTAACTTTCCAAATTTTGCACCCATTGAACACTTTGTCACTCCTGTTTTAAAAACTTGCGAATAAGAACCTTTATATCAGAGGTGGATTTGTGTGTGTTTTTAAGGTTTATTTCAAGAATGTTTAAAATTAATTCATTTAACAACTTTGAACATGGGTCATTTATAAATTAAGTGAAAATTTCAGTCTAGAGAATAAAACTACCGATTTATACATTGGAGGGCCTAGTTCACTGTTCTGCTTATATTACAACCAAATTCCAGATTCATAACTTGTTGCTGTCTTATTCATTATGTAAAGGGAATGCAATGAAAATCGATAAAAAATAACTTTCAGATGCTATATATATATTTTCTTAGCAGTTCTTTGCTGAACTACATCTCTTGTAGCAAATGAGATGCCTCTTAATTAAAATTAGAAAAACTGGGGCATCATCTCTCCTGTGAATTCTTTCCTTTCACAGAAAAAGATGAGCCCCCACTTAGCAATGCCGGGGACGATGTGGTTCTGCGTCTGCCCACAGACGGGCTGGTTTTGGACGGCCGCGAGAGCACAGACGACCACGCCATCGTCCAGTACGAGTGGACACTGCTGCAGGGTGACCCGTCAGTGGACATGAAGGTAATCATGTCATCGTTGTCATGAAAACTGATGTTTCAGGGAAGTGGTCTTTGGTCATGTCCTTCCACTTATGCTCCCCAGATGTCTTTGAGCTAGCAGGAGAGGTATAAAGTGGAGAACGTATAAAAGTGAAAGTCCAAAAAATGGTTTGGTCTATAAATGTACTTTTCTACTGAGTAAACAGTGCTCCTGGTCCTTTGTTTTGAAGATGGCTTTGCTCTTGCTGCTTTCTTGCTGGCTTCACCAGAATACCAAAAACCTCCGAGGAAAAACGACTCCTGCTTTGTTCTAATGACTCAGATTACTGTTTACAATTTTTTATTTCTTCTTTTCTTAGTTCAAGATCCAGGTAGAGAATTTGAAAATTACAAAGGGGTATAAAGAGGAAAATAACAGCAGAAGGAGCCCATTCTTCACCTGATCCAGAAAGCAAACATTTAACCTAGCAGTTTGGGCCTGTTTGAGACAGTGAGTGACAATGAGTGAGAGACAGTGACTAATGAGACAATGAGTGACTAGGTCAGGTGCTCCACCCTGATTGTCATCAGGCTGGCCTGGGCCCAGCTGCAATTGCTGCGGTGGGATTGAGCTCCTTGTCAGCAGCTGCAGGCAGTACACAGTACTTCCTGGCTTGCGCAGATAAACTTCCCCAAACCACTCACAGCGGTTCTCAACCTGTGGGTTGAGTAGAGGAAGAGGGGGGAATCTGTATTGGTTTGCTAGGGCTGCCACAGCAAAGTAACCCAGACTGCTTGGGTTAAACAACCTATGTTTATGTCCTCACAGTTCTGGAGGGGAGAAGTCCAAGATTAAGGTTCCAACAGGGTTGGTTTCTTCTAAGGCAGGGGTGGGCAAACTTTTTGACTCGAGGGCCACAATGGGTTCTTACACTGGACCGGAGGGCCGGAACAAAAACATGGATGGAGTGTTTGTGTGAACTAATATAAATTCAAAGTAAACATCATTACATAAAAGGGTACGGTCTTTTTTTTCAATAGTGTTATTCATTTCAAACGGGCCGGATCCGGCGGGCCGTAGTTTGCCCACGGCTGTTCTAAGGCCTGTAGTTTCTTCTTGGCTTATGGTTGGCTGTTTTCCTTCCTGTGTCTTCACGTGGTGTCCCCTCTGTGGGGAGTGACTGATTTGTATTATATTGAGATTGCAACAAAAACAATCACCTGGTCTCTCAAGACTGATTTACATACACTGACTTACTCAGTGGTTATGCCGTCTTAGAATTGGGCTGGGCCCTTGTTCCACACGGTACCCAGCCTTCCATCCATATCCCATCAGAGCCCCTTCTGCGGCATACCTTCCAGAGGGCTCCCACTATCTGCCTAGCTATTCCCAGATATGCACGCTCACTACTTTGCCTAGGTCCTCTGGCGTCTTTAATCAGCTGTAATTTTGGGGCACACAGGATATGCCTCCCTGTGACGTCTGTGTATTGGTACTGGGTCTCCTCTTTGGAAAAGCACTGGGCACATCTTTCTTTATTCTTAAAAGTCCCTTAACTCTTTGAAAAAAATGAATGTCATCACTTGGAATGCTTTCCTCAGAACGCAGTACTCCCACTTCTTTCAGATGAATTGATTTCCAGACAACCCACCACCCAGCCTCTTCTGGATTTTCTCAGACTCATCTATACACTTGCTAAAACCTGGCGCCCCTTTTTGAACCCCGTATGTCAACTGAAGATGTGTGTATCTTCCTGACACAGCTGTCAGCTCCTGTGATCCAGACATTGTCTATACTTCTATTAATGAAGCTTAATTTACATAAGCTGCTTTAGTAGCTGCATCATAGGCATGTGGAGTTTTCCATTGGCAGGATTACCTGAAACCTGCTTTCATCTTTTACATGAACTACTGCCCTGGTGGCCTCCCCATCTTGTTTGTGTAATTGATTGATTGAACCTGAGTGCAGGATCTAATATTTATCCTTTTTACATCTCAATAGAAATAGCCTAGACCCGTGGTCGGCAAACTGCGGCTCGCGAGCCACATGTGGCTCTTTGGCCCCTTGAGTGTGGCTCTTCCTAAGCCTTAGGAGTACCCTAATTAAGTTAGTAACAATGTACCTATCTATATAGTTTAAGTTTAAAAAATTTGGCTCTCAGAAGAAATTTCAGTCGTTGTTCTGTTGATATTTGGCTCTGTTGACTAATGAGGTTGCCGACCACTGACCTAACCAAATGTGATGCTTCCCGTTCGGGTGGCAGGTGCCTCAGTCAGGGACGCTGAAGCTGTCCCACCTGCAGGAAGGACGGTACACCTTTCAGCTCACCGTGACGGACACTGCGGGGCAGAGGAGCGCTGACAACGTCTCGGTGACCGTGCTGCCCCCGGCCTTCCCCACGCGAGGTGAGGAGGAAGTTTTTCCCTGGAATTCACAGCGGCCAACAGAACCCAGACTGTGTACAGAGGGTGGGATCAGAGTGGCATTTTATATTCTAACTATGCATATTATTCTAATAATATATTCTGACTATTTATTTTTGGGTCTTGTTGACTGAGAGAGTCTTTACTAAAACTGTGATCACAAAAGTAGCTCCTTTATGCTTCGGGCCAGCAACACCGCTGGACTGAGGTGGGGATAGACTGTGAGAGCCGTGGGACCCAGAGCGGCTCCATCTTTCTTTGACTGGATTTCATAAAAGACAATCATGAGGCTTTTCCAGAAGAGGATCTAGTTTAAAGGTGTGTGGCCTGTCTGATATGTACGCTCAAGAGTGCAGCAAGGAGTACATTGAAGACAAATCAGCCCTAGCCGGTTTGGCTCAGTGGCTAGAGCGTCATTCCTCAGACTGAAGGGTCCCGGGTTCGATTTTGGCCAAGGGTACGTCCTTTGGTTGCAGGCTTCTAGCCTGAAATCTTTTGTCTGCATTCCCAGCGTCAGGAAGTCCCCCAGTTGTTACGTAGCTGAGCCTAGGAGAGTGGGCTTACTCTGGAGTGGGGAAATGCCTTTTAGGGAAATACATTGTAGCTCCTATGTATTGGACCTCGGATTAAAAACTCCTAAGAGCTCCAAAAAGGAGACAATTTCATTATTTAGAGAAGAAAAATTCATACCAGCCAGTACCTAAAGATTCTGTTTATTCTTTACAGCACCAAAGAGGTATGGTGGTCAACAAATAGGGTTCAGTAGTAAAAAGTTAATCTCAGTAAAAATCATTGCTTAGGAAATGAGAATGTAAGACACGGCCTGTGTAAAATGGTGTACCGGATACAACAGTCAGCCACCCACGTGCCATGCAGGGTTGGGGCTGACCGAGAAGGTGATGGGATGAAGGAACTAACGCAGAGTGAGGTCCGAGTGAGGAGGCCCAGGTCAGGGTGGGGAGGACCAGAGCTGCTTCCTCTCTCGTCCCACCTCGTGGCAATGTCGGCATCGAGAAGAGCCCTAACGTGAAGCCCGGGTGATTCCCAAGAACTAAGTCAGGGCCTCTTGCTCCAGCTCCGACTGTTAGGTGCTTCCTTATCTGTATCTCCTCACCCACATGTATGTCATCACACGATGAGTCTCTGTCATCCTGACGGTGGAAGGCAGCTCTCCTGCAGTCCTGTGACTGGAGTCTTGTCTGTGAACAGGATGCTCAAAGGTTTGCTCACGCCACCACTTCTTTTGTGACGACGGCTGTTGCATTGACATCACACTGGCTTGTGATGGAGTCGAGCAGTGTCCTGACGGATCTGATGAAGCTTTCTGTCAAAATTGTGAGTCGGCTGCGTGGCCTGTTGGGGCAGAAGGGATGCCTGTATCCTCTTTCTTATATGCAAGTCAATACAGGCAGTCCTCGGGTTACGTCGAACTCGACGTATGTCATTTTGTGGCTATGTCGCCATCTCCCATTTATTTATAAGAAAAAAAGTTCCGTCATTTCGATGTATGTACATATGTGCTTTATGTTTTTTATTATTTACCACAGGTAAAGGCCAGGAATTGTTCTCTTTTAAATTTTTTTTGCTGTTTCACTTCATTACTGCTGTGTCTGTGCTCCATGTGAGTGACGTGTAGGTGCTTAGGTAGGTGGGTTCCGACTTACGGTGAAAATCGAGTTACATCGCGCCGTAGGAACGGATCGCCCACGTCACCCGAGAACCTACTGTATAGCTCTTTTTCTGCCCGGTTTCAGGTATAACTTGATGTGAACAGGCTTTGCCTTAAATGAAGCAGCATTTATTGAGTCTCATGCTAGTTACAAAGGTCAGAGAGCTTATATTGCTTCATTTTTCAGAAATTGTTTGCACTTTTCCAAAAGATTCTTCACCATCCGAAAAATGCTCTATCATATATGCTTTTTAAAGAACTGAAGTGAGTTAACGTTTTGTTTGGATACATTTTTTTAGATAATGCATGACAGACTGTGGTGTGGCTTAAGTAATCTGCAAAGCAGTTGCATGTCGTATGCACACACATGACCCACAGGAAAGAAGAAAAGCTGCAGAAAGTTAATCAAGTGTTGGTTTGAGGAAGGATGAGGAATCTCACGAGGTTTAAAAGTTTTCTCTCTGTCAATTTGTATGTGACAGAAAGTTAATTACTAGAAGAGAGATCACCCATTTGAAAACGAGAGAGAGGTTTTTATGAGGCTGTGACATGTCTTAACTGGAAACGTTATTATTCCCGAATACCCATGACTTCAAATCTGCAGATTTAGGGGTTTTAGTTGAAGCTCAGAAAAGAAGCCAAACAAACGACTAACTAGCTCTCGCCCGCTTCAGTGAGCCTTGACCGGAAGACAGAGACTCACATGATGACTGCCCAGCCTAGAACCGTAGCAGTGAGCGAAGATGCAGCAGGGCGCTTCTTGGAGAAGTCTCAGAAAGCCGCCGCCCCACAGCTGCCACCGGCGTTACCAGACACGGAGAGGAATCATTCCACCTCCTGGGGACCAAAGATTCAAACTGACCCCCTGATGCCAGGTAAGGGCTTGAGACAGGTTCTCCACAAAGAGCTTTGATTTCTATGAGGACACTTGGCTCAAAATTAAGGTTATATTTGGAGAGTGATAAGGAACTATCTTAAAAGGAAGAGGAGCATTCCAATGAAGAATTTGGCCAAAAGAAAAAATAAAACCTCCCATTTGCACTGATTAGTTTTTATAGTAAGAAACACCTACTAAATACAAGCATACATTCATACCTGGATACACACTCCAGAGGTATCAATAATCAATACATTTATTTGTAAATAAATTAGAGATAAGAAACACTTATATCCCGGCAACTAATACCCTAAGTGTTAAATTTGAGGTTATTTTGTGATGAAGCAGTATAATCCCAATATATTCATGTAAATCCTCCTCACACTAAGCAAGTGAAAGTGAAGGAAGTAATATGTCATTTTGAAATGGTTGCATGTGCTGGTGATTCAGTGTTATGCCTCCAATTTAACTAAATCTGTAACTTTTAATTTTTAAAATAAGGCTAATGAGATTTTTAAATGCATCCACACTGTTGAAGCATTATAGGATTATATCGTTTTAAGTTAATTTTTGCTCATTTATATGTGTACCATTGTATGATACGAGAAATATAGACCATCACTTATGTATGCTTTTGTGAATATCTTTTCAGTACTCAAACTCTGCATACATTAAACTGAAATAATCACTAGTTTAATAACTTCTTTGTGACAATTTTTTGTTCATTGCAGAAGGTACAGAAGATGCAAATAAGAAAAAAGGAAATGACTTAAAATATCAGCCTTTATTGAAAACAAATGTTAATGTTTTGGTATATTTGCTTCCAATATTTTGTTTATCTACTTTGTGGATTTTAAATGCTTCCATACAAATATGTTTGCAAAAATTCCATAGGGGGCCTTTCTTTTTCTTTTTAAATACATTTTTATTCATTTCAGAGAGGGAGACGGAGAGAGAGATAGAAACATCAATGATGACAGAGAATCATTGACTCGGGTATGTGCCCTGATGGGGAATTGAACCATGACCTCCTGGTACATAGGTCTACACTCAACCACTGAGCCATGCTGGCAGGGCCTTCTGCTTTGACAGTTTAGGTTCAGTGCCCTTCAGATGCCTGCTTTGGTCAATTCCTTGTTGATACTGCCACCTAATGGGCAAATCAGTCACTTCAGCCCTGCCTTGGAATTTTAGTCGTTTTCTCCACATAGAAAAGACGGCCACCTAAGAAACAGTCAAGGGAGACCAGGTGTTTTTGGCAGGAGGAATGAAGAGCTGACGGAAAGAAGTGAGTTTTCAGATACCAGGGTAGAGGAACTCTTGCTACTTACTGTGTTAGAGAGTCCCACGTGAAAGCAGTTCCTCATCAGTTAATAAGGGATTTCAACCAGATGCCCAAGGCCCCATCCAGCACTGAGAGCCTGTTTCAGGGATGTTAAGTAGCCTGACGTTCATACAGAACTTCATCGGCCCAAATCTGTGCTAGATTGTTCAGTGACCCTGTCAGTGGGGACCCTTAGAGCTTAGGAGAAAAAGCTTAAAGTACATGTCTAAGGAAAGGGTGGCATGGCGTGCTCAAGAGGGAGCACACACCGGGTCCTTGGTCTTAAGGGTTTTTAATCTGTTGTCTAAAGGCGGGAGTTTTAGCCTGGCTGGTGTGACTCAGTGGTTGAGCATCAGCCCATGAACCAGCAGGTGATCACGGTTCAATTCCTGGTCAGGGCACATGCCTGGGTTTCAGGCTCAATCCCCAGTAGGGGGCATGTAGGAGGCAGCAGTCAATGAGTCTCTCTCATCATTGATGTTTCTCTCTCCTTCTCCTTCTCCCTTCCTTTCTCTCTAAAATCACTAAAGTCCTATTTTTTTTTAAAAAAAAACAGTAGTTAAAAAAATAAAGGCAGGAGTTTTAGGATAGGTCACGGGGAGGGTCTCAACAGAATATTCAACAGCTTTCCAGGTGTGACCTTTCATATGCTGATGCATCAAGATGAGTGTATAGGGGAGCTGGGGATCATTCCCTGGTCAGCTTCACTGCTTTCTTTACTTTTATCTTGGGTTTGTCTGGCTCTTCTTTTGTTGTTGTTGTTACTTGTTCCCTTGACTGCATCGGTTCTGAGGTTTGGCTGGCACTAGTGGCACCCACTGGGCCTCCATTATCTATCTCCCAGACCAGGTGATTTAAGCTACCTGCTTGCTGGTTGGGGAGGAGAGGTGTAAACCATCTGCTCCTAATTGTTCTTGGTTAGGGAAGATAAAATCTTGTGTTATTAGCAGGCTGTTAATTGCTTGGCCTTGTTTAACTGCTTGTCTCAGTGCCCTCATCCCACCTGCCAAGGAATTTCCCAGCTTCTTACTGGGTTCCCAGCGCCGCCTTCTGGGGAGTGAGGACTCAGCCTTAGCATCATCCTGAAAATAATGTTGCCACCCAGTTTGAGATGTATTTGCAACCTCTGTTTCAGATATGAAGCCTTTGACTTGGGCTATGAATATGTAAGGAATGAAGTTTCAGAGACGAAGAGAGAGTAGATATCCAGTTATTTATAATACATTTTGGTTTTTTCCCAATTATTAAAGTGATATGCATTTATAGTAGAAATTTGGAGAATACAGAAAAAGTTTTAAATCATGGAGCAAAGCTCAGTGTTAACATTGTTACATTTTCTTCTGGTTACTTTTATTTTTACACATATGCACACACATTTACTTTTAACAACATTAGGATATTATTTTTACAACACTCATTTTTCTTAAGAGCATTTTTATGTGTTACTAAATATCCAGTGGGCTATGAATATGTAAGAAATGAAGTTTCAGAGATGAAGAGAGAGTAGATATTCAGTTATTTATAATATATAGTGCTTTTTTCCTAATTATTAAAGTGATATGCATTTATAGTAGAAATTTGGAGAATACAGAAAAAGTTTTAAATCATGTAGCAAAGCTCACTGTTAACATTGTTACATTTTCTTCTGGATACTTTTATTTGTACACATATGCACACACATTTACGTTTAACAACATTAGGATATTATTTATACAACACTCATTTTTCTTACTTAAGAGCATTTTTATGTGTTACTAAATATCCATGAAAAACACAGCGTTTGAAAATCCAGGGCCAAAGAAATGGGCAGAGTAGAACTTTGGAAGGGTCGGAGAGGCCCTCACAGCCCGTGGTGTTCGTTTAGACAACAGCCTTCTCCCCAACTTCCAATTCTATGTGCATTGAAATGATGTTATATTCAGCATAACATAGATTTAAAAATACATTATTGTTCATGACCTATGCCTGTTCTACAAGAATCAACAACTAGTACAAGAAATATGAACCAGTTAAGTGTTCTGCTGCCTCCTTCCCCCACACACGTTTTGAGGATAAAAAAATTAACTCATTTTAGATATACTGAAGCGATACCAAGGTTAATGCTAGTAATGTAGTACAGAAAGTAGGAGAGGCAGTCTTTCATCTGTCACATTGGCAGAGGTGAGAAAGTAATAATTAATGCTTAAATGAGTACAGGGAAGCAAGTCTCATGCACTTTTGGTGGGATTAACTTTACGATTTTCCACTATCCAGATGACTTGTGATCCTTAGTAAGTCCATGTATTTTTCTTAGTACAAGTTACCAAATAAATGCAGCTAGTTCCTTTAAATAGTCTTGTTTCAGTTGCAGGTGTCCTGAACATTTCTGTTGACGCCATATGAGTAAGGAAGCTTTAAAATGTTTGTTTCTCCATAAAATTCCTCATGTCGGCTGATCATTTCTAATTTACAGACATTAAGCCTTGTATTTCCCCAAAATTGCACTTGAAATCACACCACAGTGTGAGGGTAACGTTACTAACTCATTATTATATTGTCAATGTAACAAGCACACAGATGCTATAAATTACTAGAGAGGAAATGATAGAAGGGACCGGCCATTGCTCATTACGAGAACCTGGGATAAAAACTGTAAGATTTTATCTTTCTTAATGTCTCCTCTCAATAGTATACATAGGGTCAGGTGAGAAAGTGAAATAGCACGTCCATGTGCCTTCTGTGTGCTCTGTTCGTTTTTTATGAAGAAAAACCTCAGGACTGCTGCTGCTTTCCATTGTATGAAGTTCAGAGATGACCCTTGACTTCTCTGGCCGAGTCCCTTCCTTCCTTCTCTGAGGTGGAGGTGGGAGTCCTGGCACAATATGCTTGTTCCCCTCTGTCTGTCCAGTGGTTTTGTACTGGCCACACATTCTGCTGTATTAAATTGATCACATTATCTAGTGTATTGGTGATAAGCTTAGGCCTATGCTTATTAGAGAAATAGATGGTGTATATTCAGGTCTTTCTTCTAAAGTTTCTGATGTACCCTCAATATGTGTTCTACTTATTTTCCAGATAGTGATTCCTCAGGGAAGAACGAAAAAGAAGAAAATTATCTTTTTGAGTCAAAGAGCAATCGAGGAGGAGGGGAACACCCAGCCCCAGAAATAGGTAAATATGTGTGGGGAGCCCGCACGGTCATGGCATACTCAGCCCCAGGGCATCTTATGTGTGGCGCCAGCTCAGGCTGGTTCAGTGACCCTGAGTGGGGGCGGTGAAGGATGGAGAAGACAAGAGAAAAGGCTGGGTCTGGGTGGGACGCTGCTCCCAGATGGAGAGACAGTGCCACAGACTACAAGCCGTCTTTATTTTATAGATTCCACGAGGCAAAGTAAGGGCGTGGTCAAGATGTGTACAACATTCTCATAGGTTTCAATCCTACTCAGTTTCAAGCCCACATCACTCAGACATGTGGGTCCACGTGTTCGGACCATAGGCTCACGCTTACAACTACAGCTGTTGGCTATAATTGTGCTGGGAGAGCTCTGCCCTCCCAGCTGGGACTTGCACGTGGCCATGAGAGGACTGTGCCCTCTCATTAGTCCAAGGCTTGAATCTGTCCAAACACTGTAGCCGCTCTCCACAAATATGTACCTTGAAAATTCATCGCAGAGTATAAAGATTTTTTTTTAATTCTTCACTCAGTTTTCTATTTTTTTGTTATTTTTATTGATTTCAGAGAGGAATGGAGAGGGAGAGAGAAATAGAAACAGAGAGAATCATTAATCGGCTGCCTCCTGCACGTCCCCTCCTGGGGATCGAGCCCGCAACCCAACCATGTGCCCTTGACCGGAGTCGAACCAGGGACCTTTCAGTCTGCAGGCTGACACTCTATCCACTGAACCAAACCGGCTAGGACGCAGAGTATAAAGATTTTCAGAATCGCATACCCTCTAGTTGAGGATACCAGAAAAAACTTAAACAGCTCAAGACAAGAGCAGTGGTCTGTGGATCACAACTGATTTCTCATCATCTCCTATATCAAGCTTCACCTTCGGGCACTTACACTAGTCACCTCACATCTTTGAACCTCAGCTTCCTCTTTTATAAGTTGATTGAACTAGATAATCACCATGGTCCCTTCCAGGTGTAACCTTCTGTGAAAAGAGTAATATTCGTGGCATTGTGGTTAAGAACAAGATGCCAGGTTCAGATCTTTCTCCACCACTGAACTTTATGACCTTGGGCAGGTTTTCTTCTCTCTCTGGACCTCTATTTCCTCCTGTGTAAGATGGAGCCAAGAACTATACTTGCCCAGAGTTGTTAGGGAGAATACATGGGACAGTAAATACAAAGCACTTAGTACAGTGCTTGGCTCATACAATGACGGTTATTATTACTGAGTTATTTGTGATACAACAAGAGTAAAGGTCTTAGAGTACCTAGTTCTCCTCAAGTGCAAAGACAGAAGCCAATAGGAACAGGGAAAGTGTGTAGGAAGTAGAGGGAATATTTAGTAAGTGGAAGAAAAGTCTCTTCATTCCATAATTTTGGTTGTTTTTAACTAGAAAGAAAACACTACCTACATAGTCCTGTAGCAAGTCAGGCTTTAGTCCTAAATCCCTAAACTAACTAGTGAAAATTTAGGGAAACGAAAGACGATTCTTCAGTTATAGATCCAAGTTGAGAAAACTTTCTTTTCCACCCTAGAATGTCTTTTGTAATATTTACACAATATTAAAGTGTGCCGAGCCGTCAAGGCCACAGGTGAACCTGAGCGGGTAGTGAAGGATTTAGAAAAGACAGACAAGAGAAAAAAAGCTACGTTTAGGTGGGACACTGCCCTCTCCGATGGAGAGACAGCGCCCCGGCCTGCACGCTGAGTCTTTATTTTATAGCCAGATCCTGGGAGGCAAAGTAAGGGCGTGGTCACAACGTTCTCTCGGGTTCGAATCTACTCAATTACATGCACCCGATCAAGCTTTGTTTACTTGAGGCACCTCCCGCAGCCCACATCACTCAGCCACGTGGGGCCACAGGTTCCGACCATAAGGTCAAGCTTACAACTATAGCCTTTGGCTATAATCGTGCTGGGACTTGCAGGTGGCTTTGCCACGAGAGGATTACCCAGTTTGCCCCTTAGCTGGTTTCTGAGAAAAATATCATGATGTGGTTTAACAGGGGTTAGAAAGTTTTAAATCTCAAAGAACCCAAACTAAAAACATTGAAGAAATACTTAAAAGTCCATAAGAATTTTCTGTATTCTAGCAAGCACTTTCTGGGAGATTTCATTTTCCTTGTCATCAAAGCAGTAAACAGGAATCAGATTTGACAGTTCAGCAGCCTCCTATATGACTTAGCCCATAGAAAATGCCCCTATTGTATGTGTTTTACTGTACCCTGTAGCCTAAACACTGCAGCTCATCCTTAAGGGCAGCCTTTAATCATTTTCTTGCCTGAACAAGAGGTTGGCCCTTCTCTCCTTTGTCCCATTCCTTTGTAACATTTCTAACCTACGAGGCTAGTACTGGAAGACACAGGGAGTGGAGGGAGGGGGAACCAACACCTTCATGGGCCTTGGCTGTTTCAAAACTGCCTTCTTCAGGGTGGCCATTAGGACACTCTAGTGGCCAAAGCTCAACCGTCATGTGGAGAAATTCTGCAATGATTATAGAGTCCTGCAGAGGGGCTGTTGTGTGTGGAATGTATGAGCCAGCTCTAGAGTCAATGCTAGGCCGTTGGTTTATCACAGATTTTTCTTTCACAATTCTCTACGGAATACCAGCCTTTGTTTGGTACCCAGCAGTCACTACCACAACTTCCACATCCTCTCCTCCTGTGCCAGACACTCCCAGACAAAATCTTCTTCAGTTGAAATGCCATTAGTACTCAGCTCTAGGTCCTCTTGTCTTGGAGAGGAGACCACTCTACCCAGAACCAGTTTTAAGCCTGGAAAAATCAAAGCTATCAGGAGTGAACTTCCTCAGCTCCCTCCTATTGTAAGTTCTTGTCTGTCTGCACCCACCATCTCTTCCTTTCCTCTTGTACTAAAGGAGATGTTTCCTCTCCCAAGGTCAGTCTCTCCCCCAACCTTGATGCAGGCCCTTATCTTCTCAGGTACATTTCTCCATCATGTATTAACCCTCCTGGGTTTTGTTATTTTTTATTGATTTCAGAGAGGAAGGGAGAGGGAGAGAGAGATAGAAACATCAGTGATGAGAGAGAATCATTGATCGGCTGCCTCCTGCATGCCCCCTACTGGGGATCAAGCCTGCAACCTGGGTATGTGCCCTTGACTGGAATCGAACCTGGGACCTTTCACCGAGCCTCTATCCGCTGAGCCAAACCAGCTAGGGCAACCCTCCTGTTTTTAATCTGTTTCTTTATGGCTTATTCCCAACAGCTGCAGCCACATTCCGATCTCTCCCCACACAATGGTGTCCCTGGCTTTCTAACTGCTAAGCCCAGTGGCCTCCCGAGGCTTCACCGCCCTGGACCTCTCAGCATCTATGCAGCTGAGCACTTTTCTCTTGACATAGTCTCTTCCTTCTGCTCTAAGACACCCTTCTGTCCTGGTTGCCCTACCATTTCTCTGACCTGTCTTTTCCTATTCTTTTGCGTTCTCTCCTTTTGTCTGCCCCCTTAAATGGCGGTGTTTCTCAGGGCCTTGTTCCCAACCTCCCTTCCTTCCTCTCTGGCAATCTCACACACTTTCAGGGCTGCAACCACCACCTTGATGCTAACGGCTCCCACATATTTAGGCCCGAATAACCCCAAACCTACTAGAAAACCACCTCTAGGAATCTCAATTTGAAAATGTCAAAAAAATAAACATCTCAAAAATAAATAAAAATAAACATCTCCCTTGCCCATCCAAAAAGACCCATCATACATCCAGGTCACTCAAGCCAAGATCCAGTGAACCAGATGCACGGACACTCCTCTTACACCTGTACTTCTTACTGCGTTTTCCCACTTAAATGTCTACCCAGACGGGAGGTCACTAGGCTATGTCCTCCTCTGCCTTTTGGAGCAGTACTGGACCCAGTGGTCCTGGAGCTGCACCGTCTGGGGCTGTGTCCTAGCTTCACCACTAACCATACACTCAGCCGAGTCACTTAATTCTCGGTGCCTTAGGTCCCTCATTTGTAAAATGGGGATAAGAATTCTACCAACTCACGTGGTGGCTGAGAATTAGACGAGTGAAGCGAGAAAGCACTGAGGACAGTGCTGGCACGCCTCAGCAGCAGCTTATAATCGTTGATGAGCAGCGCTTGGCTCAGTGTTAGGCACCTGGCTGCTAATTAATGCAGAAAGAATGAATAAATGAAAGGCTATAGAATCGGCTTATGCAATGGAGATTTTGCTCCTCTAGCTCCACCAGTTGGCAAGACCCTTATAGCTAAAAATAGCCCCACCATCTCATCTGAAAGACTGGGCTGACTAGAAAGTAGGTCAGACTAAAAATAAGGCCTGCGCTTGACAAAACTGATCTGCTTTTTTATATACAAGTTTGACTTTTTAAAATTCCACATGTAAATGATATCATATAGTAATGGTCTTTCTCTGTCTCATTCACTTAGTAAGTAAGCCATAGAGAGCTAATGCATGGTATAATGAATATAGACAATAATATTGTACTTTAATGATGTGATAAATATTGCTTCAGTGGCAATTATATTACAATATATAAGTGTATCACCCAACTGGTGTGGCTCAGTGGTTGAGTATCGACCTATGAACCAGGAGGTCCCAGTTTGATTCCTAGTCAGGGCACATGCCCAGGTTGTGGGCTTGATCCCCAGTAGGAAGCATGCAGGAGGCAGCCGATCAATAATTTTCTCTTCATTGATGGTTTCCATTGCACTGTCCCACTCCCTTCCTCTCTGAAATCAATAA